TGTGTAGTCAGTGCAAACGAGATTTCAGGAACAGCCTAACGTCATCAAAATGTTTGCTTCTAACGCTTGTCACATGTTAATCGAAGCGGTAGGAGAAACTTCAAAATGACGCGGATTCAGTCTCGTTCATAGTCATATGAACGCAATCTCTTATGTTAATGGTTATAGCGAAACTTGCAGTGGAAATATATATGTATAGCTACTACATATCACCATCCAAACCGGTTAACAAAACATTAATACCTTAAATATTCTGACGATTATATACCGACGTTCCCTTAGCTGTTTAGTTTTAATCGAAATGTCAGACCGTCTGTTTTATTTGTATAGAAACGTGTTTGTCTATAAGGACAAAATGTCATTGTTTTATATTAAACAATTATTAATTCTGACATTTTCTTTTGTTATCTGCACCCTTTTCATATTCCTCTTTTACGCTGTTTATTTCTGATATTTGTTGTTGTTTTGCTGTCTTTTAGGCGGTTTTTGGAAACTGTCAGCAAGACGAATGTCCAACGTCAACTTGTGTCCAGCTGCAAACAGGACGGCACACATGCGTCGTTGACAGAGGTAATATATAATTAAACAATCCTTAATTTTCTACCGTATACTTTATCCGTATTGTAATTTATAAAACATTTGACGTCATTTCTCACAATAATATTGAAACTTTAAATGAAATTAAAAAAAAAATCAAAATACTGAGGTGTCAACGAAACAATATTTCGAACTTATAATCGACGAAACCAGGTGTTCCAGAAGGGTGAGCGTGTTTTGCTTCCCCGACGATACGCAACATGATAAACCATCAATAAATTCAACTTCTTAAGAAAACAAAAACAACATGACCAGAAGACGGATTCAGTTTTTTCCCGAAGGAATGCCTACGGTCTGCTGGAAAATACTGCCACTGATCTCAACAAAGATCTTGTGAACTAGGAACTTAATCGTTCTCATAATACAGTTCTCAGTATAATTCATTTTGGACTTTGATGTTCTTTTCACAAACTTTGATCCAAAATAATTTACAACCAAGTATTTTTTATTGGCGTTTTATTTTCTTTAAAAAGAAAGCTCTAATACCGGGAGAATTAATGCGTTCCTTCGGTTTTATATGATGTATGGTTATGTATAGGGTAACAAAGGTAATGATTTTGATATAAGGAATATTTTGAAAAGGGGATGGTCCAGATTGACCAAGAGACATTTTGAATTCTTCAACGCCACAACCCATTGATACCACTTCTTTCGTATACAACATCACAATATGATTGCAACACTGAAGTGATGGTACTGAGAATTGAAGTGAGACGTTTGGAAAATGAGCAACTAGAGTTGAAGCTTCAGAATCCAATCCAATCGAGGCATGTCCGTATAATTATCATAAGTTGGAATTCGGGAAGTTTGAACATGTACATGTAATACAAAAGTGTGATTTGTTCGTATTTCGTCTGTCCAAAATTGTGAAAATGTAAGTAGGGTCTTCTTGGTTATTAAGCAAACCTGATTATTTCTGAATGCAGAAAAAAACACATTCAAGATTATTTTTTCACAGAATATCTTTATAAATGCATGTTTAATGATATATTAACAGTTTTGAGTAAATGACGCCCGCTGCACTATAAGCGATTTAACTAGTTATGAAGTAAAATGAGTATTGTTCAAAATCATTTGATATATCGGATGTCCACAAAGCAAAAATGCGGTTACTTCATTTACTAGAGTTGAATCAGTATATTAGGATTATATTTCATTAGGTGTAGAAATACCCTTCTGTATCCGTTCGTTGCGGGGGTTCATTTATGAGAGTATAACTACAACTACCAATGCAGTGTATGAATACATAGCCTGAACACTACTGCTACCATTACGTGACTTCGTGCTCAGAAATTTCTTTTTTATAAACAAATTATTCAAAATGTTCCACGGCACTTTAATCAGCGCGATTTATTATGATAATTTTTTTTTATATTTATAGTTTGTACAGGAAACAGCACGTGACTTCTGCTGTTCATCTTTTACTGTTTCAGTTATTTACCTGACATCGCTGATAACAACAAGAAACTTTGAATTGTAGGGAAAAGAATAGATTATCGTTGCATTTCTTGTAATAACACCAAAATATGAGCAATTCTAATTCATTGGAGATGTAACACGGCATTTGATTGGTCAATCAAAATTATTTGCGACATTTTAACCACGATGTACCGTCTGCAAATTTCTCATTTGCAAATGAAGTCCGGATGGCGATTGTTAATGACATCATTGACCCCGAATGACGCTAGCATGTCAGAAAATTTATTATTCATGATGTCACGAACAATAGTCGGACCCCAAAAAGTTATTTCAATTCCGCCTCACTCATTATGTTCAATATGATTATTCCTGTCGTTACCAATCAACAGCAAAGTGAACATTAACAGATATCTTAAAATAGTCCATCCTTTTTGTGGTTTGGCTTATATCAACTAGAATGGTGATAACCTACAGAGAGTCTTCTCGATGGAGGATTTTCTCCGGGTACTCCGGTTACCTCCCACACTAAAACCCCGCGCGCTAACATCCGGGCCAACAAGAGTGATTGATACAAGTTAAAATAACTTGTTTCATAATTGTTGTAAAATAAAAAAAAAGTTTATATTTAGAGTCCGCGTCGCCAGTAAAACTTAATTTGCGACAGTAAAATCACCTAATTAACTGCAAATGTTGTAGATCCACTGTAATAGCTGCAACATGGGTCACTATCGGGCAACATTCGTTTTGTCTGCGACACATGATGCTGTTATACCAGAAGGTCTGCCACATATATGCAGGACTTTTACTATATACATGATACACATGAAATCAATTTTCAGTTTTAGCCGATTACAACTCATTTGGATCCAACTTTGTTGACATCGACGGAGTAGTATACGGATTATATCCGGTGACTGGAAACAACACCAACTCTCAACAGAAGTGTGAGTCATACTCCGGAAGGCTAGCTATTTTGGACACACCAAGGAAAATCAGGATTTTAACTGCTGCAACTAAACATTGGGGTAAGCAAAAATAGCAGTCAATATTTTAAGTATAACACTTCACACGGGTAAGCGATGTTAAATGGACCTAGGTAACAATGCGCGTGCAAATAAAAAAAACCAAGAGAATACCAAATTGTTATCAAAATCATAATGCGATCTCAAAATCGATAGAATGAGGGCAAAATATGTACCAATGAGAGATTAGGGAACCATGAAAAGATACAAGAGCATAAGACCACGTGTTCCGGAAGGGAACGCGTCTGCTGCTTCATCGATGATACCCGCCATGTAAATCTAAGTCGAATCGCAGTGATATCACGTCCTCACATCGAGAGCATGGGTAGTGACAACAACACAAAATCACTCTAACGAGCATAATCAAAAGTTATAGACCTTCCCGTCACACATAGAAATCGCTTATTCCCCTTTAAAAACCTGATTGTGACCATACAGTTGTATATAGTCTTCGTCAATCATCATGTTTGGAAACCCTGTGTTGCAAGTTTGTTCGGGAATGTTCGACATTTATCACGGAAGTCACAATATTTAGAGCAAGTTTGTAAGTACCGATTTCATTGCAACTTGAAGTCACCATAGGTAAGGGAATCAGGCAGTTGCTATCAAGAAAGGAAAAGTTCAATACAAGAGAGGCGATATTCTGTAACGTATCGTGTTGCTTAATAGTTAGTCGTCCCTGTTGGTTATGTTATGAGTAAAAATCGAGGAACGCGGCAGAAGCTGAAGTCTATGATGTCCTTGATTTCAAATAATTATTACAATTAATATAATTCACCCTTAATTGAAGATTTCATAAATTGTGCTTGTAAATATTGAAAATATGTGTATATGTAGAATCAGATTTTTATTAATGCTGGAATGCTAGTAACCATTGTCTTACATATATTTGTGGGTATATTTCGTTAGAATATACGTACTACTTTTTTGGTATCAAGAAACAACTCAGACTATACAATATATGAAAATGGCACTTTATTTTATTTAAAAGCAACCATTACAATTCAAAGCAACTACTGCACGATATGGAACAAAACAATAAGTCAGCTAGCCTTAGTGTGGTTACCAAAGGAATGCCCATCACCCCTTATATCAAAAATGCGTAAGGTAGCGTAAGTGGGCAAGTAGTAGGAGGGTATATTACATTCAAAATCTCCGATGCTTCCAGATGTTTTAAAAGATTACTGCCGAATGAGAAAAGGGACGTGATCTCTAAAGCCAAAGGACCAATCGTTGAATAGCGTAATTACATCTATCATCGGTGCATTATACTGTAATATCAGATATTTTCGTGGGGCAAAGTTTCGTGGTTTTCCCAAAAACTATCATTTCTTTGGTACAAGAATTCCTGGATAACGAGTACCCACTCAAACGGATAATAGATTTGTACCAAACTTGTTATTACTTATAGACCTATGAATTTATGAATGAAGATGACAAACGACGTAAACGGAATTAAAAAAAAAGGCTCACGAAAATGAGTGATTTCACAGTAATTAATAACAGTTAGTTTATCTCTATGGCGTCACGACCAAAACTCGAGCAAAGTACTTAGATGTCTTTGAATTAAATGATACATGTAACACACTCCTTGTTCTGTTTAAGGTGACTTACCCTGGTGGATTGATGGATACAAAACAGCAAGTGGAGAAATGAAGTGGTCCACGGGAGAGCTTATGACACAAGTGAGTGCCACACAACCAAATGAAAATTGTGTTGTACTCATCAGCAGGGACGGCCGTTTAGTCGACGCTCAATGCAGCTGGTCATGTCCGTGCGTGTGTGAGATGTGACATCCAAAAGCTGACAGTTATGTTATATCTAAAATGTCTGATTTATCGCGGAGTTTTCATGTTATTTAAAACTTCAACATTGATATTCGTCTGTGAAAACACACCTTGTCGAACAACGCTTAGATTAAGTTGCTTGAAATATTACTACACATTTATTACTACGTCATTACTACGTCCCGTTTGTGTGTGTTATGCCATAGCAGTGTTTTCCGATTGGCATGTTGATCTCAGACGACAGTAAAAGTTTTGAGTCCTCGACTTTCACGATGTGTACACCACCAGGACTGTAGACAGAGGCAGCCACTGTGTGGTTGTCCACCAGACACACATCACAGGGATCTCCTTCCACTACCAACTCATCCAGGAACTGTCCGTTGTCAGTAAACAGTTTCAGCTTTTTGTTGTTGCTCTCACTTATCAGTATTTGGTCATCCTGAAGAAACAGCACACCACGCGCATTACTAACTACTGAATCCGACGGCGTCTGTATGTAGACTTTTTCAAAACGTTTCGCGCGACGTCCCAACATGAGAGAATAAGTCTGCTTCTCAATAACAACCTTTCCAAAAGCGTTATCTACGAGGTCTGGAACGATTTCATGTTTCATACTGACGGACGTGAAGGACTTGCTTATCTCTGTGAACAAGGCTTTAAACGACTCTACTTCTGCCCGTCCTCTCTGATACAGCACTATCGTCTCAATGTTGTCGTTTTCTTTTACAGCTTTGTTGGACGATTTCATAGTATTAAGCATACTCTTCAGCAGACGTTCACACTGCCGTGATGTGGTCTCGATATTCCTCTTTTCTTCATTAAACAGCCTGGCCAACTCGTCTGTGACGGCCTTTTGAAGTTTATCTAGGCGTCTACCGACTCTTTCGCGTGTATCTTCAACGCTCTGTTCAAAAGTTTCTTGGTTATGTACCATAGTTTTCAGCTGTTCGTCAAATTCCTTGATTAATAATTCCATGGCTTTTTCCCCTTCTTTCAATGCCACTTGGATGACTGCAAATCGCGTTGCTGCTTTTAGTTCATTGTAATATTCTGTCGCTGTTTTTACTTTTTCACAAAGCCTGTGCTCTTTTATTATACATATGTTGCATCCCAGAAGCCTGTGGCTTTCACAAAACAAACTCAACTTTTTGTCGTGCGTGTCACATCGAGGAACAGATTTTTCCTTGTTTTGTTGTATTACTTCAGACATGGTGATATCTCGGATATCACATTCATTGTGCATGCTATCATGATGCTGTGACTTAGGATTTCGCTGTGTTGGTCAGGTTTCCTTTGATCTGGCAGAGTTTACAGTACCGTGGTTCAGACGAATGTTCCTGTAGCTTGATATGTTGTTGGATTACGTCACTAGTCGGGACCTGTGCTGCCCATTTGTCCATAGATTCTGCTCGATTGACTGGCGAGGTCATCCTCCTACAGACCGGACAAGGGAAGGATGTTGCCGACGCCATTTTCTCGGACAATTCCTTGGTGATATAGGTTCCAAGACAATCCTGACAGAAAGAGTGGTGACAGGGTAAGGACTTGGGCTCCTGAAATCGTTCCAAGCAGATTGGACACTCAAGTAAATGCTGGTCCAATTCCGGAGGGAGTCCATCCTCAGCCATGAAGAAAGTCATCTCAGTTTAACTGTATCCTGAAAATATATTAAGGGCATTCTACATGCTGAATTTATTTTAGAGATAAAACCTTGTCCTCTTAACATTATCATGTTGTTTTAATCATTATAATTAAATTCGTTAACTTTTCTGAACCATTGTTTCCTCAATTCATCCACAATAGTAGGCATTACGTTGTCTTATATAGCTGGCCATATAAGATGTTTTTCCCATGATAGAAAGTCATGTAAGATGAATATTTGTCTTACAAGAGACAGGTGTATCCGGAATTTTGCTGGTGTGAGATATTCCTGTCTCACCCTAGGGTTGAAACGGTAATTCCCCAGTCGAAACAATTGCAGACGTCACGTAAACATTTCATTTAGCATGAAACATCAACGTCTTATTATCAATATGACAAGGGCAACAGAAAAAGAATAACTCACTCCATTGTGGTAAGATAGGGGAATCTCAACCCTCGGTAACTATTCTCAAATTACCAAAGACTCGGCAAACCTCGTGTTTAAGTAACTTAAGTATATCCCCCTCGGGTTGTGATTTCCCTATCTCATTCCAAGGCGGTGAAAGTTTCTATTAATCTTATATGGACATAACGCTTAAACGATGAAGTGGCGTCATGCTGCAACAAGTGTGACGTCATTCCAATCTAATTTGCTGTATTTTATTTTCTAGTTCAAGTGCATGTACTTCATCCTCATTTATTGCAATTTTATATATAATTTGAAGTTTATTTAATTTTTGTATAAACCAAACTATGGAGCGCTTTGCTAGAGGTAAAGACCATTTGAAACCGGTTCGGTATAAAAGATGATGCTATTTTTCTACAAAATAAAGTTGCTCACTTGCTACAAGACCGCGGCAACAAGTTTTGTGAGCATTTTTTTTAGGTTTCGAAGTATTTATGTATGTGAAGCACGCCCTGTTTAGAAAAAAAACATTTAAATCAAACAGTGTCAGATGAAATTAATGTTTAGTTTGTGCGTATGTAAACTTTCTTCAAAATACCGGGTAAAACATGGCGCCAATCATCGTAATATCTTTATCAGTTTGATTGGTAATATTTTCATCTGTAAAACTGTTGTTATTAAACTTTAAACAATGAGGTTTCGCAGTGTCATTAAAAACAAGGATGTCAATTCACATATTTCCCTCAAAATAATACTTTGCACGAGATTTCTGCTACCCGGCTTCAATATGTTTCCTCTTATCAAGCTGCGTAAAACCCAAAACAAAATATTCAATACCAGCTTAAACCAAAGACTTACTTTAAGCGGGGAAATGTGAGAATTATTATGCTATCTATTATATCAGAAATAATTATTACAAATTTTAACTGTCAAAATACAAGATCGTTGCCTAACCCCATCTTGTTTGTCCTATCAATCTCATATGAGCTTAACAAAATATGTCAAATACTTTCTGAGAAATGTTGATTATAGAGTTAACCTGTTAAAACCGAACATGCACAATTATAAAACTTGGGAAACCTCCATTTGAAATGTGAAAGTGGACTTATAAATAGGTGTAACGAAAATGAACTAGAAAAAATAATACCTATCTGCCTGGCTGGTACATTATGCATCTATTACTTATTTAGAACTAGCGATAACAAAAATGTTAAGGACGGAGAATGGACGGATTTACCACGGATCACGGATGAAGAACGATTTGAACAGTCTACCATCTGATGATGAAATCCATAGATATTTTAAACGTAGATTATCAATTCGGAAGTTTTGGAACAGCATCAGGGAATTACATCTTATATACACATTCAACATAATAAACACTCGCACTTTATGTAAATTGCATATGATATAAACACATGTGTGTGTGCTGACCACGGACCACGGATGAAGAGCGATTTGAACTGTCTACCATCTGATGATGAAATCATGATTTGATATACGTAGATTATAGATTCGGAAATCTTGGTACAGCATCAGGGAAATGGAGCTAATATATAAAATTAAAAACAAGAAAAGCACTCACACTTTATGTCAATCGTTGAATTGACATTCGTCCGTGTGATTTTTTTTTTAATGATCAGTGTTGCAGGGTTAAACACTATCTCTAAAACATAATATATGATAATAATAACAACAAGTGGCCGAATGGGCCTGCATTGCTCACCTGGTATTAATCTTCCACTCGTAACCGTTAAAGTGATCTAAAATAAAGCTACAGGCCAAATTTTAGTATTTATGACTACAAGTCATTCAAAAGAACCTGTAAAAAGATTTTAAATCATTTGACCCCTGTGACCTTGAAAGTCGAACAAAGTCATTATGCTGCACAAACTGTATAGCACTCAGATCAGCATACAACTTAAAAAAATATCAAAAATATTGGTTGTGGAGAAGTCGTTTTTATTTTTTAACACATTTGCCCCAGTGACCTTTCAAAGTAGGTGAAGGTCATTCATTTAGTATCTCTTCATCGCAGCATGTTACTGGCTAACTATCATTACACTAGCTAGGCTTCTTGGTTATTCAGAAAAAGTTGTTTAAGGGTTTTAAACATATTTGATCCCTGTGACCTTGAATATAAGCAGGGACGTATAGTGAAGGGGATTAGCAACTCCCTCTCTGCCCTATCAATTTTATGACACGTCAATCTAGACTTACCTCCCCCTGATTCCTGGGCAGATAGCGAGCGCCACCTATCTCAATTTTGACAAAGCAAGATGGCGTCGCTACCGCTTCGTTAGATGCAGCAGTTGGTGTGAAAACAAACCAATCTCGATAAGTGTTCTTACGTTGTTTATCCCATTTGTTATAAGCTGACTGTATTACTTTTAATTGATAAAATCTGTGGTTTCATAGTAATTGATGTCTCGTTTTTGGGGTATATTTTTCTATTTTTAAACGCGATGTAACACGAGGTTAAGAGTATTGTGGTTTGCATCGATAGACAAAAATGCGGGATAAAAAAAACCCACATGTATGTGAACCACCTCACTCCAAAAGTATTTGACCGATCTTTTTCAAATTAGCAGCAATAGAAAGCTGAATAAATTGTATAACCACCCAACCCATTTTAATTGCAAATAAAATAATTTAACTTGTGTTTTTTTTTGTGTCAAAAAGACTAAATATCAGCAATATTTTTCACTGGAACGTAAATCATTGCGAAAGTAGTTGGTGACTGCTCACTGTTTTGATTAATTTTATAAACTATCGTTTGTATTTTTTAAAACAATTCATATCAATAAACAGCCGAGTAAATTCTATGTTAAGTAGGCCTGATTTGATTTGCATTATTTGGAACGATAGCGATGTCACAGATGAAATTACTCGTCTGGTAACCGTTATCAAAACACTTGACACCGAAAGCAGGTGCGTGCTTAATTTTAACGCTAGTGCGCAAGCGCAGGCTGATCGAGAGGGGCTCTCGATGACTTCGTGGTTCGGTGAACAAACACAAAAGCGACGTGCTATAGAATCTTGACTGGGGCAGAGTTGCCAATCCCCTCTATATACTGTCCCTGATATAAGTCAAGGTCAGTCATTTGAACAAACTCAGTAGCCCTTCATCGCAGCATGAAAATGGCCAACCATCATTACCCTAGGCCTCTTGGTTATTCAGAAGAGGTTGTTTGGGCAGGTGAGCTAATAATAATAATTCGAGGTTCTTATATACCGCTTTATCACAACCAAGTTTGTAGGTCGTCTCAAAGCGGTTCACAATTATCATCCGTGGTAATATGGCCTTTGCAACTAACTAATATCTTTCTCAACTCTCTGGGGAGCATACAGCCGGTGCTGCCATTTTGACACTCATAGCTAGCATTCTACAATTCTAGCACTGCCCAACCACGTCCTCATTTACAGCTGAGTAGACTGGAACAAGCAGAGTAAAGTATATTCCTCAAGGATACAACACAGTGCCGTGCCGTGCCGTGACTCAAACCCGCAACCATTCGGTCTCGAGTCCGACGTTCTACCACTAGACTAGCGTGCCTCCAAATTATTATTACTTCATTATTGATTTATATCTATTTGATTTAGATGTTCTTGTCTGTGTTGAATTGACTTGTTAGTTCACATTATTTGGTAATGTTGAGCAAATATCTCGTCGCCAAAAACATGCCGGAATTCGAACTGCGTCAAAAGTATGGCGGCTTTCTAACAACAAGAGGCCCAATGGGCCAGAATCGCTCACCTGGTATTAATCTCAAACTTGTAATATTAAAAGTGGACTGAAATACAGATACAGGCAAAATATCAGTGTTCGATTCATAAGAACCTATTAAAAGATTTAAACATCCCAGGACACTTCTCGCAAAATATCATTACCCTGGACCTTTTGATAATTGAGAACAAGTCATATAAAGATTTAAACATATTTGATCCCTGTGGCCTTGAATATTAGTGAAGGTCACTCATTTGAACACACTATGCTACTGACAAAATATCATCATCCTTGGCTTTTTGGTTATTGAGAAGAAGTTGTTTAAAGGTTTTAAACATATTTGACCCCTGTGATCTTGAAAATAGGTAAATGTCACTCATTTGAACAAACTTGGTAGCCCTTCATCCCTGAATGCTACTGACACAATAGCATCATCACAGGCCTTTTGGCTATTGAGTAGAGGTTTGTACAAAGGTATTAAACATGTTTGACCACTGTGACATTGAATGTATGTCAAGGTCATTCGTTTGAACAAACTTGGTAACACTTCATCTGAGCATGTAACTTGCTAAATATCAGTATCCTAGGCCTCTCGGATATTCAGGAGAAGTTGTGTTAAGGTTTTAAACATATTTGACCCCTGTGACCTTAAATATATGTCAATGTCATTCGTTAAAACAAATGTTGTAACCCTTTATCGCAGCATGTTAATGGCCAAATATCATCACCCTAGACCTTTTGGTTAGTGAGAAGAAGTCGTTTAAAGTTTTTAAACATGTTTGACCCCTGTGAGCTAGAAATTAGGCGAAGGTCATCTGTTTGAATAAACTTGGTGGCCTTTACCCCAGCATGCTACTGGCCAAATATCATCATCCTAGGCCTTTTTGTTATTGAGAAGATGTTGTTTAAAAGTTTTAAACATGTTTGACCCCTGTGACCTAGAATCTAGGCGAAGGTCATCTGTTTGACATTTAAAAAAACTTAAATTACGTATCTGGGCTGAAATCTTTGCTAGCTGTCAAGCAGTTCTACTAATCTCCTAATATGTAATGCACTACAAACGTCAGTGGATTTGTTCATTGATTTATTTATCTTTATATACGCATAGACCTTTCCCTCTGTTTCAACAGTAGTTAAGACTGTTTGGATTTCCATCTTTTTGACCCCTAACGTCACCTATGAGTTACAGAAGGACGAAACAGCTTTATTAATAATTAAGCTGTTTCTTCCTTCTGTAACTGTAAAGGAAGGTTTTTGGCGGGTAGGGGGTTCTCAGATATATGTTCTTCTGTATTCATATCAGTCTACATGAGAACATATAGAAATAATTCTTTAACGATAGTTAGTCTCCATCAAGCAAAGTACGAGTCAAAAATTACAAAAACAATGGCTACTTTCGGTTCGTATATATCTACTACAGCGAAATTGCGAAAGTACAACTGCACTACAGTAAAGTAAATCAGAGCTTTATGCAGATTATTTGTATAAATTAATCGATGTTGATTCAGGTATCAACACTACAACGACACATTATACTCACCTTGTTAACTTAAATTTAGAGAAACTCGCTCATAGGTCTGTCAAATCTGGACACATTACGCTTTGTACCGTTTAGTCTCGTTCAACCAGACTCTTGTTGTCTGCGCAAGCTACGAGAGAATTGCAAGTGACCAAGCGTCTGGTTGATAGAGACTATTTCCGTTACGCCTCAACCACGGATGTTTTCTAAACACTGACTCGAAACTGAGGTGTAAGAAATTTCCGGATTTAATATTATGTCACGGTTTGTTCAAGTCATTGCATTTGTTACAGTATGCATTTTGACGATCTATGTAATATTACTACAAAACATTTTTATTTCTTTGTTTATTATAAAATGATCATAATGTAGCTTACATTTGCACAAATTTCCTACAACAGTTCAATGTGTTTAATCAGGGATGTGTAGTGGACTACACATCCCTGGTTTAATTAATACACCTCATTAATTAAAATGGATGCTGCTAAATTATTTCAAAGTTATTTGCATTCCAGTAGTTTATTGATGATAAATGCAATTGTACATCTTTTTATTTCTTTTAAACGTATTTAACCACGAATTTTAGCTACTGTATTTTTTTTCTTTTTTTCTAATTTGGTATTTCACTACCAATGTGCGTATTTTTATATTTATTATAAGTCTTATACTAAAACAACAAGTATCTTCTTTTAACATTATCGCTGGATTTTCATTTCGTATATATAATCATGTATGGGCAATACATGTAAGTCTTACAAAATATAGAAATCAGAATGCAACAAATTTACAAGAATGTCGAGAATATTTATTTTCGCCAAAATATGCAACTATACGTTTTTACTATTTTAAACTTCAACTTCTAACTTTCTGTTATTTCTCTCATATTTTGAAAACTAAAACCACCTGTCTATAAAACTTTACTCGTAGTTCACTTTTTGATGTAATTATCAATTGTTCACAGTTCAAATTGAAAAGGTGAAATTATGTACCGCACGATAACAGGGTAACGGACAAATGTGTATTGTATTTCTGTACGTGTATAGTACATGTACGTGTGGTATTTCCGCTCAAAATACACCTTCATCACATTTACAATGCAACCACATAAAACTAATGGATATCCTACGGCTTAGTGCATTATGTCTTGCGCATCAATTCTGTCTTTGCGTATTGCAGAGTTATCTTCTCTTCGGAGCAGGTATTGATTGTTACGTCACTTGTTTGTGAGAGTAACGTCATCAATTTTTGAGAAAACGACGTAACTTTCTCACCCAAACCAATGACGTAGCAATCAATACCTGCTCCCAAGAGAAGATAACTCTGCAATACGCAAAGACGGAATAGTGTTCGTATGTGAAGGAAGTGAGGTAACTCATTTGACCTGTCAGTCTTGTCCAGAATAAGTATGTTAACGTTCTTCTTTTCAAGACAGAAGACATGTAGGAAGTCTTCAGTTACATGTACCAAGAAACTAATTATATTTCACATTTGCAGAAAAGATGAAATAAAGCCATATAAAAACATAAAGCAACTTTATATTTTTTCTTTATATATAGTTTGTGTAATTTTCAATTACCATTGCATGGAAACCGTTGACACATAGCGAGAATGTTTCCTGTTAATCACCAAGGCCAATTGAACGAAGATCTTACAAAACAACAAACATATCTACAGGATGAAGCTGCAAATGTGAAATAAATTTAGTTTCCAGGTACATGTAACTGACGCAGTTGCTAACGAATATAATCTATGGCAATTGTGCGCATTAGCGCTCCATAAAGAATATGTTTGTTGCCAACTGCGTTTATACTACCATATACGCCATCAAAATGAAGATCAATCCTTATATTTACAACATAAATAATGCATAAACGCTACATTGCGCAGAAAAATGTCATAGTCGAAGTGGGTTGTCGCTATGGTAACTAAGGTAACCGTGGTTGCTAAGACAATATAGTACCAGGCAGTGAATCTACATCGATATGTCAGTAAATATAGAAAATAAGCAGTGAATAACTCTATTTTTTTGCTTTCATGGTTTTTAAATGTTAAATTAAGCAATGTGAGAAGCCCTTCGAACTTTATATTAATTTACAACGGTCGTCATGTACGCGCAGTGGCACACTGCTCATGGAGTGATGCGGTCAGAACGAAGCCGCCATTGTTGACGTTACTGTCAAAGAAATCTATGGAATGAGAAGTTTGTTAGCATTATTTTGTTGTATCATTAGACATAATGGATCCCGAATGATTTAAGCATTTGTTGTCATTGGACTGTTATCTCGTATTTGAAAAATGTATCAATCCGCCGAGCCTTTTGTCACTGCGTATACGCTAATTAATACGCAGACGGAGTGAACTAAGCTGAAGAAGGGAGACCTGAAATATAGTCCAATACATAACGTATTTATTTAAATGATACATGTTCCAAAAAAAATGACACATCCCCCTCCCCGCCCCCTCCAAAACAAATTCATTACTGTATATATATACATGTAGGTCCTCACTACGTACTGTAGGACTTCATTTGCGTATCCTGGTTGAAACCACAGGGACCTGATAATTGACAAATTGAGGTTGACGTCAGCCACGTGCCGAAACTCGCGGCGTGATTGGCTGGAAGTGTAGCCATTTTTCGTTAAACCAACCAACACTGCTTGTTCCAGCGCGCGCTGACGAACGCGTCAACCTCATTAATATTTTTAAAAAGTGGCAGGCTGACTGCGAACAACTTTGAAACTCTGAAATGGCGTAGGTTTTTGGAGGAAACGGAGTTCGTGTCTTGCGGAAGGAGAATAGAATCTTAGAAACTACATATATGACTTGACATTGTTTTAGAAAGAAATAACGCAAACTAGCAATGGTCAGCATTTTAGCTTCGGTCATTTGGAACCCTCAACTTACACGTGTCGAACATTCCGGAGGTCAGCCTCGGATCAGATATGTGCATGTCGTTTTATTTACACGTGTAACCGGTTCAACCGTTTCAGCCGGATACGCACATGTACCCCAGATAAGATAAGATAAGATGCTATCTAGGTGCTATCTAGTTTGGAAAGAAATTCATTCAGAACGACCCTTGACTCTTAAATATTCCAAAGATATGCCATGTTCTGCTTAATACTTTTTTCATCTACAAATTTAAGCCAAAACCGGTACTACACCTTTTTCGCGATTATATTATATTTGACTATATTTCTGGTTCTATTTACAAAACCACGAGCCGGAAATATTAACTTGTTATCAAAATGAAAAAATAATGATATATATTTAGGAAAAGTAATAAAAAAAATACTAGGATCGGTACTATGGCATGAAATACATCTTTATTTCACTAATAACTGTCCCGATTTGGGTACCGTTGTGACCTACAAATGTAGGAGAAATAGACAATGCGACTTACAAAATGTATCATCATAAAATTAAGATAACTACAGTGTTTCAGTTGATAATCGAACTATTTTGTATACACTACAGACATATAAAGCCATAATATGAAGTAAACGTGTCCTGTTTGTAGAGGGATGGCTACGCCTGTCAATCAAGCGGAAACCAAGGAAAACTGGGCTAAACAGTTTCCAACTAATGGTGTGATCCAAGAACTGATCAAGCTTAAGGAACAGTCGTCTGGACCACTGTACTGCACTCCTTGTCAAACAAAAGCAAATCCGTCCAATCCTGCCAAGTTCTGGTGTAAAAACATTGAATCCGGTTTCTGTGATACTTGTAAAGTTGATCACCACGATATCATACATATTAAATGTGATATTTTAGATGTGTACAGGGGGGACAGCAATAGACCAAAACAGTACTCGGTTGTGCCTCACTGTGACAAACATGACGAGAATATGGTTTGGTACTGTGAGGAACACAGACTGCTCGGTTGTAACATTTGTGTCTTCAAAGACCACAGACGGTGTGATAACGTGACATCAGTGAAAGAGTACTTTCAGAAGCTAAAATCAGGACCACAACTGACAGATATACAGGCAGCACTGAAGAAAGGAGCAGAGATCATGAACTCTTTAGTGAAGGACTTTGACGAACAGCTACAAGTCATGGTAAAGAACCAAGAAATCGCTCTCCAGAGTATTACAGATCTACGCCAAAGGATCGACAAACGGCTTGACGAGCTTCAGAAGAACTGCACTGACAGGTTAATCACGCTGTTCAAAGACGAAAAGAGGAAATTAGACGACTCCTTAAGGCAATGCGAATGTCTAAAGAACAGTATGCTTAATACACTGAAGTCGTCGATTAAAGCTACAGAGGGAAACAACATTATGGAGACGGTATTGTTGTATCAGAGAGGAGAGGTAGAGGAAGAGTCGTGCAAAGAACTAGCGAAGGAGATTAGCAAGACATATACATCCGTCAGCATTAAACATGAGATCGGTCCAGACCCGTTCACCTCTGGCGATAACGCGATGGGAAAAATTATCAACCACGATGTTTTCCTGATGAATTTGATTTAGCAACACCACCAATGTTGGGACGTCGTGTGAAAAAGATAGGCAAGTTCAACATAAAGACCCCATCAGATAAACGTGAATGTTGTGCGCGTGGTGTGGTATATCTCTCGGAAGACGGCATCGTGATAAGCGACAGCCATAACAAGAAGCTGAAACTGTTTACTGACAACGGACAGTACCTTGATGAGTTGGTAATGGAAGGATATCCCTGTGATATGTGTCTGGTGGACAACCACACAGTGGCCGTCGCAGTCTACAGTCCTGGTAGTGTCTGTGTCGTTGAAGTCGAAGACTCAAAACTCTCTCTATCGTCTGGGATTGAAATGCCAAATGATAAAAACTGCTATGGTATAATGCATACTGATGGTAGGTTTGTTGTGAGTACGGAAAGAGGAGATATATACACTGTGACACCAGATAATATAGACTTTATAAACGGGTACAGGAAAGCATGCTATTCCATAGCACAAGATCCACTTACTAAAGACACTCTTATCAGTGTCGCAAACGAAACCGAGGGAGAATGTGCAGTATCAAGACTTTCCGATAACCATCAGTACGTGAACACTGAACTGACGGTTGGTATCGTGTGGCATGCGGCGGGATTAGACACTGATACAGAGGGAAACATCTACGTGTGTGGTAGGGATTCACACAACGTCGTACAGATGTCTGGGGACGGAACACACGTCAGAGAGCTGCTGACGGCATCAGACGGAATAGTCAATCCATGGGGACTAGCTGTTCGTGATGAGACGATGTTGATTACAACTAATATTGGTTGTGATGTCCGTGTGTTTAAACTCTACTAAACTACGTCTCTAATCGAACATCTGTACAGAAGGACACCTTATAAATATGCCGATCTTTTGACAAGTATATGTACATATCTACACTTTGACACCTTTTTTAAAGGAAAGGCTTATTTTTGATGTGTATGCTTACCATAACTATTGAAAGGAAACTCTGAATTGCATAAATGGACGATTATTTTAACGTGAATGGCTCATGTACATGTACGAAAATGTAGTGATTCAATACAAAACCCATATCAATGAAAATTTAAATAAAAACAAAATCATTCAGCTTAAATTTGATTCACAACTTACAAATGTATATGCAAAATGTTTCCTTTGCTTGATGTTTTCGGTGCTTCTGTATTAGGCAGTGCCTGTTTGTTGTGATACAAAAGGGCCTGTTTCCAGTAATGTTAATTCTCCATAGGAGCCTGCCCCCGTATAATTTCTTATCTAGCTCAACTACTGTTTTTTTCTTTTCCGAAGAATAATTTTACACCTTTCCGACACCCAGATTTCATAATTTCAGTGAAAATGTATTTTTATAAAGTTGTCAATTTCAGCATCAAAGACATAAGTTCGTAAATAAAAGAAGGTTATCTCGAAATTGTAATTCGCAACATAGTATAAATTTCTTTTGATAAATATTTCCAAAACATCGTGTTTATTCATAAAACAAAAAAAAAAATATTCTCGGATGAAAATGCACTTGCAGAGACACAATTATGAAGAAAAATGCCATAAAATTGCAATTTTCTCCCGTTATATAGTTTTGGATGCAAATTTCCATCAGAAAATCGGATAGAGCTTTACTTGTTTCATATGTGTACCAAAAATCAGCTAATTCCATGTGGTGGAACGTTCTCATATCGCCGCCTGAATGTGGTTGTAAATTGAAAGAAAAGGGGAAATGAGTAACAACCTTGTCTGAAACCCTATTATATAGCTTATTATATACAAACTTTTATATTGAATATCAGAGCGGATATTTTCATGACAGTTTTATGATGTGTAACGACTAAATAAACAGTATCGATATAAAGATTTACACTGAGGACACCCTGATACATGAATACTGTTCTATCTCAAGTTGTCCTCTTCTGAATTTTCTGATCGTGTGGCCTTGTACATTTATCCGTATCTTCTTGTCTTTGTCTATACGTTTACGGAATCATTGACTCGACGCTAGCTATTCTTGTCTCACTTTCCTTGTTTTATTGTCCCATCTCCAAAGCGTTGTGGCTCTGTCAGGGTTGGGACCCTGACTTGTCTCACTTTCTTTGTGCCTGCCGACCACGCCACATCGAATAGATAGATTATCCATATGAAATACTTTATTTTGTTCTAAGTAATCAATCAATTCTGCGCTTCTTGGAGGTATTGAATGTGATTTATTATATTGTCTTGTTATTTTGTGTAATTAGTTGTTCGTTATTTATCACACATTTTCGCATAATTGTACCAAACTACTAAGTATTAGCTGTTTACAGCAATCATCGGTGGCTTGCTATTTTGTTACTTTATCGACGCTTCATAAACCAATCGTTATTGTTTCAAGATGGAGGGTAAATGTGTTGGAGAAGGGTGTCAAGTATACTTCAAGAAACGTAGTGGCAATAAGAACAGAAGTGCACGCAATGTAAATAGTCCACAATATAAATGGCTCCTAGATACGCTGGTGCAACAAGGATTGATGTCAGCAAAGGAACAAGCACTTATTTGCCAGAAGTGCTACATGAAGTATCTTCGGAACAAAAATCAGCCTGAACCTGAACCCGAGCAGAACCAGGAAATAGAGGAAGAAGACGACTCCCCGTCCCATATCCTGCCGTTGCTGACCCTTCATGATCTTTTGAATGGATCATCTTCACACAAAAAATGCTGTCTCTGTCTTGTTACCTTTGCAAGAAATGGAACAAAATCATCAGTCTTACCAAAACGTGCAAGACATCACCTGATCTATTCACACAAACTGTGGTGTCCCACCTCATCCCGCGTCTGCTCCATTCACCTTATTGGTAACGACTTAGATCCGTCTACAGAGGTTGTCCTTGATGGTAGAGGTTCCTTGGAATCTCAGTTACCATCAAAATCGTCCGAAATCATTAATGACCTCCTAGAGGTGTCGCACGTCCTTTCACAGAACCAGTCTGCGTTTACAATAAGCTTTTCTTCTCTTGATGACTCGGCATGCATGGCCTGGACAGGTTGGTCCAAAGATCAGTTCCTCGAAATCCACTCGCACTGTTCCCCATATCTTTCATCTGGTATATATACCAAGACTACACACGATGCTCTATTACTGTTCTGGGTAAAACTGAAAACCGACATTTCCTGGAGTCAGTGTTCTTCTCTTTTTGGAATTTCCAAGTCAAGTGTGTCCAAAACTTTCCACTCCATAGTACAGGCATTAGACACATCGATAGTCCCACAATTTCTAGGTCCGGATCACTTGACAAGAGAACAGTTGCTCGGGCACAATACTGTCTTTTCAGAAGCATTTTTTGGAGATAAAGCCACTGCCATATTAGATGGCACCTATATTTATATCCAGAAAAGCTCCGACCACAAGCTCCAGAGAATGTCCTACTGTGGCCAGAAGAAGAGAAACTATCTCAAATTCATGAGCATCGCCTTACCAGATGGCTACATTCTGGACACAGTAGGACCATTCACTGGCAGCGAAAATGATGCTACAATTACAAAAAAAGTCATGGACAAGCTAGTTACTTGGCTACAACCAGACGACAACGTTGTCGTTGACCGAGGTTTTAGAGATGTCCTACCAGTTCTCGAAGCCTCTGGCCTCAATGCTAGCATGCCGTCATACCTGAAACCCGGTCAAAGTCAACATTCTGACGTCCAAGCAAATCTTGACAGAACTATCACCAAATCGAGGTGGATTGTGGAATCCTATCATGGTCGTCTGAAACACTGGACGTTCTTCCGAACGCAATTGGTGTCTAACAGCTTTATCAATGTCATCGAGGCTTTGCTTCGAACCGTCACAGCCTGTCTGAATGGTATTAGAGGACCGATCTACCAGAGATCTCCAGAGAGAGATGCCAAAGATAGGCTAATGGCTGAACGTATGAAGGACCGTTTGACAACACCGAATGGTTTAGCTCAGAGAGTCAAGACAGATCCGGATCTATCTAGACGGGCAAGGTCCGAGTTTGTCAAGATGGATGCATCTTCCGTACTGTTTCCCCGTCTCGATCTTGATTACTTGAGAACCATTACGTGTGGAACGTATCAGATATCTCTGGCTCCTGGTTACATCGCCGAACATTTAAGTGATGACGGAGACTATGAGGTGTGGCTTTACCAGCACTCCCCAGACCTTCTCCGATGTCAAATACATTCTCGACACAAAAGCCAAACGAAATATAACGTTTGGATACGGTTCACCGTTTCACCCGATGTTGAGGCCCCAATAAAGGACTACTACTGCCAGTGCCCAGTTGGAGAGAGAACGATGGGAATGTGTGCGCACATCTCCAGTATCTTGTACTACCTTGGGTATTACAGGACGCTGGAAAACCCTCGACCATTACAACCACAGGTAAAGAAATTCCGACAAAACTTGAAATAGTTTTCCATGCGGCAACGGAGTGCATATGTCGAAAGTATGTTTGGGGCTCGATATGAAAGATCCCCGTTACCATGTGACTAACCAAACTTATAAATATAGGTATTATACAATCGCCCGTAGCTATGAACACTCCCGTAAATGCGAAAACCAACCAAAATCATAAGGAACACGTTTTGTTTGTTGTTCTGTCTATTTGTCAGCCAATGTCTTCAACCACGGGGACTTGTGAAGTAGCCATCTTGGATTTTTTTTATGAAAAAGTGTTTCTCTCACTTTTTTTCATATCTGTGTACATATTCTCAACATACCGAGCAAATACTCTCGTTTTTTTGTTAATTATCTAAAGAAAGTCGAAAATCGGCAATTCAACCATAGGCTAATTCAACCCAACATTTGAAAATGTTCCACCACTTACATTTTGATGATTTTTCCTCTCATCAATAGCATATTACGTACTGTTTAATAGGATAAAAATTGGTTTGCATCCAACGCCCATAAAAGGGTGTATTCTCTAAAAAACACAGTTTTTGTGTCTAAAATGTTATCATCGAAAATGGCATTTTTGAGATTGTTTCTTCCATAAAACAGCCAAATGGCGCGATGGAAACATGATTTTTTGTCACAATCATGCCATGAATGTATTCTTTACGGTGACCATCATTTGATTAGATTTTCATTAATATTTTACATAACATGCACATTTTATCAACACTTAGACAGCTTCTGAAAGGTACAACTTTGAGGAGCCATAAAAAACAAACCAAGTGACCTAAATCTTTATACTTTATAGATTTGTGACCACAACGGCATGGGCAATGCACCACCAACAGGAAATTTGAATCAGAGAAGGGGCCGTTTTGGAAACCGTTCCTTTGTTATCAAATTAGCATCGGTAAATAAATGAAAATAATTTGAATGATATGTTTCTTTGTTTACCAAGTACAGTGAGCAGCTGAACAACTGAATGTGTCTTTATCAGAGTTATGGTAAAGTGAACTCCATTTGGGTAATAACTACTCAATGATCAATATTGGCTTTCAAAGGCGATGTTGTAGAAAATATATGGATAAAATGATTGAGAATGTTTTGGTACTTATTCTAAGGTCATTGTGCGAAAACTAAACAGAATAAACAAAGTATCATGAAATTGTCATACAACGAAAGGAAATTCACATACTACGCTTCTATTGTCCTAAATGTTTTCTTGGTGTCAAACGTTAGATACAGACGCCGCCATTTTTGTTTTCAAAACTCTTCTGTTCGATACCATTAACGATATATATTTCAATTTTCTGGCAAAGATTCGTCAGCGGCTCTCTGATTGGTTAATTGTAAGGTCGAATGAACGTGACCCATCTATTTGCGGCACATTCAGATGTTTACTTTAATATTCAAAGTACATACGTAATAAACGAACACATATATCACAGACTTCTAATCAAAATAGCGTTGAAAGTAATTGATGAATTGAAAGTTATCGATGGAATTCGGAAGAAACAAGTTTTAATTCCAATGGGGGACGTAATAGATGCCCCTTCACCCCCACCCACTTAACCAACGCTGTTGGGATAAGAAGTAATTGAAATTATCTGAATTTAGACCAATGAGGAGAAATGATATTGTTGTTATTTTGCTCTGGAAGTATACGCCAGTAAAGAAGGTTAGTGGCCAGCTATGATTGAGTCAGTCATTCAAAAACACCCACAGCCTTAAAGAGGAACGTAAGACACATACATTGTACATGAGAATACAGTATACCACTATACAGCTTTGTCGTCCCTCATCGGTGGTGCTCGGGGCCAAAAGGGTGGAATTCCAAATTAGGCTTAACGTTACTGCAACACTCGATAACTAAGAAATTCACCAGCTGAGTCTACCACCTTATATCTTGGAGAGATGAACATGTGATTGCACGTGTATTAAGTAACAGATACAGTATGCCAAAAAAATAATTATTACACTGCTACGTACCATACATATGTTTCTTCCTTTTAGGACTTACCTGTGATGCTAGGGGCAAAAATGATGCAAATCTTAATTGGTCTAAACTAGTTTGAAACAGAAGGGGAGATGCATAAAGCCCCTTAATGCTATGAATTGAAAGCATTAAAGAAGTACTGCGTCCGTTTTCATGAACCTGTTCGCTGTTCAAGCATGAATTATGTGCCCAAGCCTAATTTATTTTTGCAGATATAAATTGATAAAATAATTAAATTTTTTATCGCACCTGACCGAAAGGCAAGTGAGCTTATGTCATGGTGCGGCGTCCGTCGTCCGTCTGTCGTCCGTCAACTTTTCCTTTAAAAACAAATTTCTTCTAAAAAACGAACAGGCATAGAGCCATGCTATTTGACCGAAAGCTTCGTTGGTAGGAGCCCGACAAAGTTTCAGAACGAAAATGACCTTGACCTATTTGCAAGGTCACAGGGGTAAAATGTGTCAAACTCTTCAAACAACTTCTTCTGAAGAACTGAAAGGGTATAGAATCTTTATATTTGGCTGATGGCTTCTTACGATAGAGCCCAACAAAGTTTGAAAATGAAAATGACTTTGACCTACTTTCAAGGTCACAGCGGTCAAATATGTCAAACGCTTCAAACGACTTCTGCTGAAGAACTAAAAGGTATATAATCTTCATATTTGGCTGATGGCTTCCTGCGATAGAGCCCGACAAAGTTTGAGAATGAAAATTACCTTGACCTACTTTCAAGGTCATAGCGGTCAAATATGTCAAAAACTGTTAACGACTTCTTCTGAATAATCGAAAGGCATAAAAATATAATGTTTGGCTGGTGGCTTCGTGGGATTGAGCTCACTAAAGTTTGCAAATTAAAATGACCTCAACCTACTTTAAAGGTCACAGAAGTCAACAACATTTCAAAGGATTTGTTCTAAAGAACCAATAGGAATTATATGCTTGTATGACTAAAGACTCGTTGTTGAGAATTTTTCTTTTTATATTATGTAAATATATATATATATAAATTAAAACATACCTGATCATAACTATAAATATCTTAGATTAAGGAAACAGTTTCTGTAATTATAAAACGAATTTGTAAAAGTATCCTTTAAAATACGTCCTAAATGGCCTTATATCTGTAGATAGGACGTGAAAACCTATACAACCAACCAACCTTAAAATTTCCGGAACGTTTATACCGCAGTTCCGGTTCTTTGCTTATTTTCGTATAGGCAACATCCGTGTTCGGGCGGGAAAAAGGTAGTACCCATTGTGTCATGAAAACACAGATCTGTCTGCGCCTAATTATCATATCTTAAGTTCGCACGGTGAGTAATATGTGTAACAGTGGTGTAAGTATCAGGTTTATCTTCAATTAAACGGACTCTAACTTTGTATTGACAGGAATCAATATTTAAAGCAAAATGAGTCGAATGACATTGACGCACAGGAATGAATGGCTATCTTGTGTAATGGTCACCTGTCATTGGTATGCAGTCGTATGAAATATGATGAAAGACAAAAATGATTAGTTGTTTAAAAAAATAGAAGCAGCGTTTCTACCCTAATGTATACAATATATTTTTCGGTTGGAGTATTTACCGAAATGGAGTTGAACTACCGAAATGGAGGGAAATGGGCTTTAAATTGGCATTATTTCAAGAGAATGGACCCTAATATGCATTCTTTGTCACCAACTGGAGTCATATGTAGAAAATTGGGCGTTTATTTTTTTTTACATCTATTTTAAATTAATTTTTCAAAATAACGCACTCATGGCACGATCTTCGTTACCGAAATGGAGGACAATGGACCTTAAATTGGCATTATTTCGGGAGAATGGACCCATATATGCATTCTTTATAACCCAAAAAAGCTAGATGTAACAGATAGGTAGTTAAATTTGACTGGAAATAATTTGAATTTATCATCTACAGACGCGCAATAGCCGAGATTCTCGGTACGATTTTCCATATCCCTCCATTTCGGTAATGCAACGCCATCAAAATGCTTACAAAATATTGAAATTCGTGATCACTTCTACCCAAAATCAATGCACGTCATAACAAATCATTTGGCAATTGCAACTAATACATTTTCTTTTTCATTTTAAACCTTTAATATTAAAAGTTTATATGATTCTGCCACCCGTGGTAAATCACCGAAGCGGTTAGCGCTACATTGTGGAAGGTGGGCGCCTTTAGCAGATTTTGTTTAAGGTTATTACTATATATGCATTGATTTGTATTTAAATGCAGTATAGCCAACTATATGGCAAGCCAACTTAACATTTATTCAAGGAGCAATGTCGATCTTGTATTTCATCGAATTATATAAGATATCTTATATAGCATATGCGATATCTTATATACTATTTAAGATATCTGATATCGTATATACGATATCTTATATCGTATATAAGATATATCATATATTATATGAGATATCTTATATAGTATATGAGATATCTTATATAATATATAGGATATCTTATATACTATATGAGATATCTTATATAGAAATTAAATGAGATGCTATACAAGATATTTTATATGATAGATAAGATATCTTATATCGTATATAATCTTATATAGCTATATATCTTATATCGCATATAAGATATCTCATTTAATTTTCTATAGAAGATATATCATATAATATATAAGACATCTCATATAGCTATATAAGATATCTTATATAATTGAAATATCGTTGCTATATAAGATATCTGATATAGAATGATATTTCGTGGCATTAAAAACCAGAAACTAATTTCTCCCTCGAGAATCATTCGGAGCACATTCAGGATTGCATTGGGCGCAATGGCGGAGAGGGATGGTACGGATGCTGTATTTTCCCTAGGCCTAGCTCGCCTTGTCTCTCTTATAGCGGCCAAAGCAGAGGCTGCCATTTCCCGCACTCTTGAAGTGGGCTCAGACATAATGGCGGCGACAGGAACACGTGTTGTTACAACAAGCCTACTGTCCCTACGTAGATCCTCGAGATATTCCGGACGGGGAGAGTTCATTTTCGACATTTTGTTAAAATCTCGTTCCTATATAAGATATCTTATTTAGTAACGAGCCTTTAATTGTATAAGATATCTTATATAGCTATATGAGATATCTTATATAGAACATTAAATGAGATATCTTATATATCATATAAGATATCTTATATATCATATAAGATATCTTATATAGCATCTCATTTAATTTCTATATAAGATATCTCATAAAGTATATAAGATATCTCATATAGTATATAAGATATCTCATATAGTATATAAGATATCATATAGTATATAATATATCTCATATACTATGAGATATCTTATATAATTCGATGAAATACAGGATCGGCATTGCTCCTTAAATAAATGTTAAGTTGGCTTGCCATACAACTATCCTAAACGTGTTCATACGTAACTGATTAAACATTTAGAATAAGTTTACAAGGATTATGTGCTTCAAATAACGTCAACTTCATGAATACAATGCATCTGTGAAATAATATTTGCGATGTTTCTCTTAGTTGAAGAGAATACCAACAGCTTCATCTTATAGATATGTTCGTTGCTTTGCACGACATGTGACTTGCCGTTCAATTGTTTTTGATGATAAGCAGGGAAATATTCTCGCGATGTGTCAACGATTTCCATTGAGGGGTAAGTGAAAATTCCACATAGCAAAATTAATGATAAGTGAAAATTATACAAACTTCATGTATATAAAGAAAAACAAATGCTTTACGTTTTTGTATGGATTTATTTCGTCTTTTCAGCAAATGCGAAATAAAGTTAGTTTCGTGGTACATGTAACTGACGACATCCTATATGTACACTGCCTTGAACAGAAGAACATAAACAACAAAGTCTGGACAAGACTAGCATGTCAAACGAGTTACCTGCCTTCCTGTACATACGCAAAATATTGATGCTCCAGACATAATAAACTACACCATAGGAAAATCATTTTTGTTAGAAGTGGTTACACATTAACTGCCAATACGTTGTAATTGTACCAGGAGTCTTAGCTTCACTACCAATGGCCAAGGAAAATAAAGGGCGAGGAGTGTCAAAGATCATTCTTCGTAGATCTGATAAAGGTGACCGCAAATATCCTTCAAATGTAACATGTAGGCTTCCATTGGTCCTTTGTTGGGCATGTTTCATTTTAAAACGATAAAAAATAGTGCATTTAGTCTGGCATCTTGACATTAACATTTTGTTATCTGTGTTTCTAAATACTTGAATAATATAACAAAGATCTTTTACATATTCCATATGAAATTGCGCTACTATCAGAAGGTTCGTCCTGTTCGCTTGTTTTGCATGTTTCTTTCCTGGTTTTACACTTCTCGATCAGAAAATCTCTATTGTTCAATTTTAACCATATTACTTTTTCAATAAAAAGGTCAAACCAGAAGCTAAGTTCAAACGGAGCCTGCCAAATGATTACTCTTACCTTGTGTTATCGACAAACATTATTAACGATTCATCGGCGGGCTTTTTAATCAAGTGAGAACAGTTAACAAGTTTATTATAAGAAGCTATAGATCAAACCATAACGAAAACTTGTTTCCGAGTTTTGTGATAGGCACATAATGCCTGGTGTTTACAGAAAAGAACACTATATACACGTATATACAAAGTCTTCAATATAGATTTTACGTACATTATTCCAACCATTGATACGGTAAACATCAGAACAGTCTATCCTTGATAACATGTCACTCTACTGGAATTTAAATACATAATCATCTTTGAAATCGATTGGTTCCTCTCACGACATACGTTACTTCTCCGCATCCCTTAACATATGTTATAACAAACACTAATGCTCGCGGTTGGCTTTTGGATTGGTTTCATATAAGAAAACATGACCATTCGTTAGGCTGACACCTGTACTTTGAAGAATACAGAGGAGCAACACCCAACTTCAGAGCCTGTGGATTTTACAAGACTCATTTAATCTGATAACAGATATCAGACTAGTCGACTAGTATCATCCGTAATTTGTTTAGTAAAGCGACTTCGATTTTTCTTGGCATATTTCAGGGTTGCACAGAGGATATGTGTACCGAGAGTGGTGTCCTGGATTTGGCGGACGCGGTAGAGTGGTCCTCTGGTTCTTAATAGAGTGGTTCATCGTGAATAATGCCGTAAAATATTACTGGTACGTGAATAGATCTATAGGTAATCGAGACGAGTTGTAGTTAGCTTAATAAAGCTGAAACAAGCGGACGTAGTTAGTCTGATCTGCAGTGAGTACAAACATGTCACCACAAACAGCTACTGCGAATGGGCGCTTTATTCCATCTGATGACGTCAGCAGTTCCCTGACGTGTGTCCCGTCCCCAGACATTTGCACGACGTTGTCCGATGCAAAGCCACACACGTAGATGCTGCCCTCCCTATCAACGATTACTCCTGCAGCTGAACTCACGACACCTCTTTGCATCACATCCTTGCGACGTTTGTCAGCCGCGAGTCTGGACAGCACAGCTTTCCCATCGGTACTGGTGTGGCAGCTGACCAGTATGTCTTCATTTGTTGGGTCATGTGAGAGGAAATAACACTTGCCACTATACTGATGTAACAGCTCAGCGGTGCCGTCCTGTGTTACACTGTACACTTCAGATTCCTCTGTGTCTGTACAAACGACAAATCTTCCGTTGATATGGGTTACGCCCCAGCAGTGTTTACCATCTGGTAAACAGATTTCGGAAGAAAGTGACATTTTTGAGTTTTCGACTTTCACAACATGGATACCACCAGGGCTGCTAACTGTTACAGCCACTGTGTTGTCGTTCACAAAACACATATCAAATGGACTTCCTTGAATGGTCAACTCATCGAGGTACTGTCCTTTATCTGTAAACAGCTTCAGCTTTTCGTTGTTGAGATCACTTACTACTATTTGATTATACGGAAGGTACACAACGCCAACTGCTCTACAATCGTCCTCATCTGATGTAGTTTTTATATCAAACTGTTGTACTTCTCTCACGCGACGCCCGGACATTGGTGAAACTAGGTAACCATGACTCTCAGGAAAACGTCGTGGTGGTTTCTCAATGACGATATTCCCCATTGCGCCATTACCAAATGTTACAAGTTCGGGTTCGGTCTGATGGTGAATACTGACGGACGCGAAAGATTCGTTCATCTCCATGACCAGGGTCTTACACGACTCCACTTCAGCCTGTCCTCTCTGATACAACACTATCGTTTCAGTGTTATCGTTTCCCTCTGTAGCTTTAATGGACGACTTCAGTGTATTTAGCATACTGTTCTTTAGACGTTCGCATTGCCGTAGGGAGTCGTCTAATTTCCTCTTTTCGTATTTGGACAATGCGATCAACTTGTCTGTGCAGTCCTTCTGAAGCTCGTCAAGTCGTTTGTCGATCCTTTGGCGTAGATCTGTAATACTCTGGAGAGCGATATCTTGGTTCTTTAACATGACTTGGAGCTGTTCGTCGAAGTCCTTCACTAAAGAGTGCATGACATCTGCACCTTTCTGTAGTGCTGCCTGCATATCTGTCAGTTGAGATCCTGATTTTAGCTTCTGAATGTATTTCGTCGCAGTTGTGACTGCTTCACAACGTCTATGGTCTTCTAAAACGCATATGCTACAGCCCAGAAGTTTGTGATCTTCACAGTACCAAACCATATTATCGTCGTGTTGGTCACAGTGAGGAACAGATGTGTTCTGTTTTAGTCTATGTCTGCCGTGCCTGTTAATATCTAAAATATCACATTCAATATGTATGATATCATGGTGATCCACTTTACAAGTCTCACAAAAACCGGATTCCATTTTCTTACACCAGAACTTGGCAGGATTGGACAGATTTCCTTTTGTTTGACAAGGTGTACAGTACAGTGGTCCAGACGACTGTTCCTTAAGCTTGATCAGTTCTTGGATCACACCATTAGTTGGGAACTGTTTAGTCCAGTTTTCCTTGGTTTCCGCTTGATTGACAGGCGTGGCCATCCCTCTACAAACTGGACACGGAAAGGATGTCCCAGACGCCATCTTACCAGACAACTCTTTAATGATGTAGGTCCCGAGACAATCCTGACAGAAGCAGTGGAGACATGGTAAGGACTTCGGTTGCCGAAGTCGCTCAAGACAGATTGGACACTCTAGTAAGTGTAAGTCTAGTTCCGGACAGGGTCCGCCTTCAGCCATTATGAGGTTCAGCTTGGTTCAACTTTAACCTGGAAATGTAGATAAGCACGTGATTATTCGATTTATATATTACTGATTGTCTCCCTATCTAAAGAATGTTTATGTAAATTACAGTTTTATGTACGGTGCAAGTGTTATACATTGTGTTCTGCGAGATGATCTGAAACAGTATTCTTTGACAAATGTAATTTATGCCATAGTTGTAAATTACCGTTGTCATTCCAAAGTATCATCTTGTATACTTAATAAGTAATAAAGCTCGATTTCATAAAACGATGTCACCAATTATTTTTTTTAATGTAAACATGACCAAAACTTAAAATAATATTAAGAGTCAAAATAACAAGAGGCCCAGAGGGCCTGTATCGCTTACCTGTTTCTTTTGTTACATGAAACTGACATATAGGTAACTTTAGACGAAATTTGGAAACTAGAACACAAGACATTTTAACATCTCTTAAATAGTTCTTAAGATATTGTTGTTTCAAATTTGAAATTTTAATTTGTTGACTCCGGCTAGCACTTAAAGGTGATATTTGACCTTATTACTATGATAAAGAAAACTATTCAAAGCTGGTCTACATAATATACCCAGTATCATGACTCAAGACCAAATGCTTCTTAGGATATTATTGTTTAAAGATTTTAACATATTATACCCCTTTGACCTTGAAAGTAAGCCAAGGTCATTTTAATGAGGAAACTTTATAGCGATACATCCCAGGTACCTACTGGCCAAATATTATGACCCTGGGCCTTATGGAACTACCAATGTTGACGTTTGAACCCCGACTAGCACTTAAAGTTGACCTTTGACCTCATTAATGTGATCAAGAAAATGATTTGTACTGCTTGTATTCATAACATACTCAAGTATCATGACTCTAGTCCAAATGGTTCTGAAGATTTTGTTGTATGCATTTTTTAACATATTTGACCCCTGTGACCTTGAAAGTAGGTCAAAGTCATTTTAATGAGGAAACTTTATAGCACTCCATCCCAGGTACCAAATGGCCGAATATCATGAACCTGGGTCTTATGGAACTTGAGAAGAAGATTGTCAAGTCTTTTAACCCATGTTGTTGTTTGACTCAGGCTAGCACTTAAAGTTGATATTTGAACTCATTACTGTAATAAAGAAAAAGATTTCCATTGCTGGTCTACATAACATTCTCAATTATCATGACTCTAGTGTAAATGGTTCTAAGGATATTTTTGTTTGAAGTTTTTATCATATTTGAATGCTGTGACTTTGAAAGTAAGTCAAGGTCATTTTAATAAGGAAACTTTATAGCACTTCATACCAGGTACCTACTGGCCAAATACCATGACCCTATGTCCTCCAGTTCTTCAGAAGAAGTCGTTAAAAGAAAAAGTTGAAAAACGGACGACGGACAACGCAATACGACATAAGCTCACATCGCCCTTTGGACCAAAAAATAAAAACAGCAAGTAATTTAAAAAATACTGTCAATCAGGCATCTTCTAAACAACACTTGTTGTCGATATTGCATGATATCTATCAAATATTATTTACATGGTTAGATAATCCATTGCAGAACAATACTCCCGACCAAATTTGGTCAGAATCTATTTCGACGTTCTTGACAAAAGACAAGCTGACGATGGATGGACAGATTGACCAATGAATGGTGGACTAAGGACGCATCTCTAAAGGACCAAAAGAGTTTACATAGGCCCATTGGGCCAACATCACTCACGTGGTATTATTGTCACACCCGTGACCTTAAAAGTGGAATAGCATAAACATACAGGCAAATATCATAACTATATCAAAATAATTCAAGGTAATCAAGATTACAAATATACATAATAGCCTTTCATCCTTACCACATATCATCAGAGGTTATTTGAAGGTTTATACACTTTTGACAATGTGATCTTGATAGTGGGTCAAAGTCATTCATATGAACAGACATGATAGTTCTTCATCTGAGAATGTTATTGTCGAATAGCAACATCCTTATAATGCCTTTTGGATACAAGAAGAAGTCATTTAAATGCTTCAACACGTCTGACCCCTGTGACCTCGAAAATAGGTGAAGTGTCATTTATTTGATCAAACATTATATCTCTTGATTGGAACATGTATCTGATTAAATATTACCACGCTAGACCTTTTGCTTATCCAGAAGGAGTCATTTGAATGTATTCAATGTATTTGAACCCTGTGACCTTAATAATGAAGGTAAGTCAATTAATATAGCATAGGAGCTCTTTATCTTATCATGTTACGCTTAAAGAGGAATGTTGGTTATTTGCAAAACACCTTTGAAATGTTTTAAACACATTTGAACCCTGTGACCCCTGTGACCCCTTAATAAGGGTGAAGGTCATTGATGTTAACACCCTTGGTAGCTCTCCATCTTAGCCAGCTACTGGCCTAATATCATCACTCTTGACATTTTGGTTATTAAGAAAAAGTCATAAATTAGTTATGTAAATAGTTGACGCCTGACAGATAGACAGATGAGATTAGGTTTAAACATGTGAGTATGGTGCTGTTGAGACATAATGTATAGCTTGAAACTCGAAGAAAAAAAAGCCCTATCTAATAATAGCTAGAGTTATTAAGCGGAAACTGCAGATAATGACTCTGCCAAATGAATCCGATTAAAGTTGTTGTCAAACTTGGCCGAGCCCTTAATGCGTTAAACCCTGTTACTAAGTTTGAAGAAAATCGGTTAACATTTGTTATTGCACGGAAATNTTAGGTACCCCAAAAAGTGTACCTCAAATGTACCTTTTTCTCCCCTGGGCAAGCCCTTAAGGCATTAAACCCTGTGACCAAGTTTGAAGAAAATCGGTTAACATTTGTTGTAGTTATTGCACGGAAACGAAGCGCAACAGACAGACAAACCCAAATTAATATCATCCAATATAATATAGGAGCCAAAAGGGGTTTTTGGGTAGGTGACCAATAATATATTTATTTTCATATAATTTCAAAAAAAATAAAACTGTCACCTATGGGCTAAATAATATCCCCTGTATTCCGGCTGCTTGTTGCCTTGAAGGGGCTAAGTAAACAAGGGAAAAAATATATAGAAATTGATGTCAATGTAGCTTGCATCAATGCTTCATTTACTCCAAGGTATGTGTATACAAAATACCTACCATTTCTGTGATAAATAGCCATTGCAGTAACATAATGCATCCGTGACCTTTAATCACATGATCTTAGAAGTTTGTCATAAAATAGCCTGCATTATTGGCTACAATACTCTAATGTATATGTGTATACAAAACACTTACTTTTTACGAGATAATTAGTCATGTCAGTAACTATATTCTTTCGTGACCCTTACCCAACAACGTCAGAAGCTATCAGTAGAGTAGATTGCATTTGTGCATACAAAGTTCCTACTGTTTCAAAGATATTTAGCCATTTCAGTAAAGTAATTCATTCCTGACCTTTGACCCCATGACCTCAGAAATTAGTCAGATTTTAACTTAGCCATTTCAGTAACGTAATGCACCGTCAACAGAAGTCAAGGGTCATAACTTAATATTGGATCATAATGGCGTTCTGGGAGACACAAGTTCATTTGAGGTTTAACATGTGCAAATCAAAATCCATGCATAAACCTAGGTGGAGTAGGAGGTACAGTTTTTTGTCTACAGACAGACAGACGGACAGACAGACAGACAGACAGAGTGTTTCCAGTATACATCAATGCATATATACACTTTATGAAAACATTTGAAAAGAGACATTCGTCTTGTGAATATTCCTTTTTACAGAAAGGTTTGTCCCATGGTTGAGGAAAAACATTTACCCATGTGTACCGGTAACATTCCGGTAATAGATATTTCCTGGTGTCTATAAATAATGCTGAGATGCCAACAAATATTTCTTCATTGAAATTTTGAAAATTGGCATGTGTGCAATTATCTTCTGATGATGAATACTTTCTGCTAAGGGGATTCAATAAGTTTCAAATCATATTCTTTGGTTTCATAGTGCAGCAAGAAGTTGCAGTTGTCTACACTGGGGGCCTCATTGGAAAACTTGGCTTTCGGTCAGATTACCTGTGTTTACTGCTTCGATTCAAAACCGTCATGTGACGTTATTGGCGCTATTTTTAACAGGGCTTTCCCGAACAATTCAAGTGGTCAAACTGGACATTTGGAAAGGACTATGAATGTAGGGATAACAAAGTAACATAAGTGGAAGTGCATACAACACATTCAATAAAAAAATATGGCTCTTCACGAGACGTCCCTTTAAACACAACCGCATGCACTTATGTATCATAAATTTACAAATAAAAATCGCTTACGCCTGTATATTTACATTCGCTCCCATTGAAGCTGTGTAAACCGTGACTGCGTATACATTACCGTATACGCAGTGAGATTCCTTGGAGACCATTGTTTCCTATTGATGACGTAATTTACATTGTGACGTCATAATGGTAACGTTGGAGATCCATCGCTGCTCGCAGGCTGTAGGCTGTTCATTTGTTTGGATTTACGCACGTTACGGAGGTTTTGTACCAATATAAAAGCAAATGTATTGGAGTTAGCTTTATTCTGAGTGTACCATCATGGTACGAACATATGTAAATATAAGAATTGATCTTCAGTTTAACTGCGTATGCGGTAGTATGAACGCAGTTGGCAACGAACATATTCTTTATGGAGCGCTTAAGCGCTCCATAGAATATGTTCGTTGCCAACTGCATTCATATTACCATATACGCAATCAAAATGAAGGTCAATCCTTAAATATATGCATTGACATGTATAAAAAGAAAGAGAAATGTTTGTGATTTTTTTTATTACAACTCAATGTCTTCAGCCACTTTATTTCCAGACCATGCATATATATTTATTCATGTATACTCTCTTTCCCATTTTCACTGTATTCATGTACATTAACACTTAGTAAGTCATATTAGCCATCACACACAATAAACTGTATGGCAAAACAACTACGTGTACATGTAAAATATGTGTTGGATATGGAACGTTTTGGGATACTTGATAATTATATGTTTTACAG